AAAAAGACGCAGAGAGATAATAATAATAATAATATTATTATTATTATTATCTCTCTGCGTCTTTTTTCCGATCACGTCATCGTAGCGAAATTAACTTCTCTGATAGATCTATTCTTAAAAATCCACAAGTCTCCAAATCCACAAGACTTGTGGAATAGTTATTTCTATTCCACAAGTCTCCAAATCCTTCTTAGTGTTGTCCTTAGCAAGTTCCATAAACTGTTCCATCAGACCAGCAGACTGAAGAATAAAATCAAATAAAGACATGAACGGATAAGAATCAAATAAATATATCTAATTATGAAAATGCAAATAAACAGAAATAACTCCCATATGCCACAGTTTGGAATTCAATGCAATGAAAAAGGCATAAATGACGCCATGATAAACAAAGTAGAAGTGAGTGAAGTTCTGTGCACTCACTATATGCACATCTTTTGTAACCTTGGATGTTGAGGACGTGTCACATGATTCGACATGCAATTTGTTTGGTTCTGGAATAGTTATTTGAGAAACATGACCAATAACAGGAGGAGCCTCCACACACGAAATAGCAGGTGAGGGAGAGTAATGCTGAACTTCATGCACATTGATATCCAAACGCAGATTAAATGGTCCATCTTGAAACGTTGTATGATTGCTCATTATGTCTGTAGCAGTGGAAGAGATCTGCTCAACATGTTTTGTAAGAGCGCTGGAGCTGCTTCTAGTTCTGTCATTTTCAGACAATAGATTAACAACCCAATTTAAATTTTAAAAAATAATAATAATTCCTAATACGTTAGTCAGAAACCACAACTGTACCCTGTTGATTCAAGTACGTCCCGACAAATATCCTGTGAGCAAAATAAAGCACATTTTAGCAACTGTAATAATGAATTGAAACAGAAAAATATGAAATGCTACCAATGAATATGCGGAGAGATATTTTAAACAGAAAATACCGCGATCATGTGGTCCGTTTCGTCGTCTGGGGTCGTTCGGACCACTTATTTTAGCAATCGGGACGAAAATAAAAATTTGAGCATTTTTTGCCCGCACGCGAATCTGTGGTCCAACGAGCGTCCTTCGTAGATAAAATCGACATTTCGGACGCACTCATGTGGTTCATTTTGTCGTCCGAGGTCATCTGCATAACTTCACCGACGAACGGGCTAATTTTAGCCAATTTCGTGCGTGACGCGATAACTAATTTTCGTCGATCATAGGTGGACGCCCTACACCTATGACATCCAAAAAAAATTGATGCCAACAGAGAGCTTAGGAATACCTCGGCTCGCCCCTACATAACAAGCATGCGTGTGTTATATCCTTCCCTTTCTTTCTCTATCTATTTCTTTTCATCTCTCCTCTATGGTTCCTACCGCTTTGATCAATGGGGATGTCTCAAAAGGCAAATCTGGACTTACAAAAGCGAAAAAAACTATCTTCTATAACGATCAAGCAAAAGACTCTCCTCTAGGACGAGCAAAAAAAAAAAAAAAACTCTCAACAATGATGAGCAAACAAAGAATCTCCTCCGAGACGAACAAACAAATGTCTCTCCCCGGGATGAGCAAACAAAAGGCTCTCCTTCGGGATGAGCAAATAGAAGACTCTCATATAATCCGAGAGAAAAAAAAAAACTCTTATATGGGACAGTCAAACAAAAAACTCTCATTTGGGATGAGTAAACAAAAGCTCTCATCTGGAAATGACCCAAAAAAAACTTTTCCAAGACGAGCAAATAAAAGACTCTCCCTCGAGACGAGTAAACAAAAGACTCTCCTCTAACTTTGGATTATCAACTGACGTGCTTCAGCATTGATGAACAAAGGGGTATAACTAATGTTTTATTATGATTGCATTTAACATGTTTAAAAAACCTCTCATTTTTATCACAACTTCGCTTCCAAGAAATAAGAGGCTCAAAGACTTTTATGTTTATAAAAAAAATACCCATGCAGATCTTGATGGGATTTGATGGTAGCAGAAACCAACAGGTCAAATGCTGAATGAAAGAACATAAGTCGATCAGATGATGTTAGCACAACCGATGGTCGAGGGCCAACCTTAGCCACCCAACCATTTCAACCACACGACCACGAAAACCTCTGTCAAAATCTCCAATGACGACGACCACGTACTAACTCCCTCATTGCTCCTTCTATATGCACGACTAACTGCATATAACTCGAGAAAATCTCTATTTATCATCTCAACTTGAAGCTCCTCCATCCTGAGCATCTCCTCCGATGAAGACTCTCACTAATACGACTCTCTCACACTTTGCTCTCCATCCAATCTCCCTCAACACTCAACACAACAATTCGTCGCATCTCCCACTACTCACTCCACTGCAGGTCCACAACCCTCCGATGGATCTAAATTACTGCTGAGAATTGGGGAACCAAATATGCACTTAAAAAATATGTCAAACAGAATCCCATAGTCTGGACGACTGACCCAACCTGAACCCCCAACCATAGACAACCGACCAACAACCTAGACGACCAACTAATAGTCTGGACGACTGACCAATAGCCCGGACTGCTGTACCAAGCTGGAGGTCTCAATCCATATAAAATTGTGATAAAATCAGTTATAAATATAAAAAGACATGCTAAAAGACAATAATACGTAATACTCCTATTAAAATAATAGCAAACATATAATTTTATATCATTGGTCCTCAATCTCTTATATACAAGGGTCTATAACACGTAAAAATAACTTTTAGCTCTTCTCTCTAGACCCGTGCTATGTAGGGAGACCTCTCTCCTATTTTTTCTTGTAACATCTATTCTCATATATGAAATGAGTTCAGAGTCTAGGAAATACCGTAGTTCGCCTCTATAAGATAAGTTTGTGTGCGTTATTTCTTTCTCTTTCTTTACCTGTCTATTTTTCTTTCTTTGGACATAAATCTAAAGCATAAACTTTATTTTTTTTGCATTTGGACCACTCAAATCTTTAATATCACATAAAGAGTGCCAACATTTTAATTTTAAATAGTTGAAATATAAATTTTCATAGATAGATACGGTGGTATGTATGTAAAAATTAAAGCTCAGTTACTGGGCATGCAAATACATAGGAATTGAGCGGTATGCATGTAAATCTCCCATTATTAAAATAGAAATAAGGACTAGAAAAGCGAAATGTTAATCGGTAACAAAATCCCTCGCAGAAACCGCCACAGCCTCTTGAACTCGACTCCTTGTCTTCTTATCTCGCTGGCAAGCCGATTTCTACTTTGGCGGTCCCTCTCGATCTCTGCGGGTTGGCTTCAAATCCATGGAACCACCTGAAGCGCCATCGTCTGCGGATCCATTGCAGCACACTGCGGCGGAGCCCCCTCCGGAGGAACCGATACTGCAACTTCCATCCGAAGCTCAACCAACAATAACACCGACGCCATCGTCATCGGCAGTCTCTGTTTCCTTGTCCTCGTCGTCGCTCTCCTCTGCTGTTTCTCCTTCGCAGCCCCAATCACAATCATCTCTGCATCAACGACAGCCTGTCGCCGCCCGTACTCGATCTCACACTCAATTGGGGCAATCCCAATCCACTCCTTCCACGTCCTCATCCTCTTCTTCCGCCTCTTCGATCCAGAAAAACGGGCCCTCGATCGGCCTCCCGGCTGCCCTTCCCCATCACGCAAGGCCGCCGTCCTCCGCGGGTTATTCCTACGGTTACCCGTCGCACTTTAGCCAGCCATTTGCGAGCTCCAGCTCTCCATCACAATCGCTAAGCCAGCCCTTCGGCGGCTTTCCTCGGAGTTCCCTGCCCACGGCGGAGCAATCTTCGGGCTCTAACGCCCCTTCTGCCTCATTCAGCCAGCCTTTTTCTGCGATGCCCCGCAGCTCTGCTGGGGCGCCGGATCAGCAGCCCAACTCTAATCCTCAGGTTTTTTTTGACAGGGTTTATTACGTTGAATTGCTACTATCTATTTTGTTTGAATAGTTTTTGAGTGTTGTGTTAAGCTTTTACTTGTCTGCTTCTCAAATTTGTATCGGTGAGTATGATAAGAGAAAGTAAGTCTTTTCAGGGCATCAGTAGTTGGTATTTGCTTGCTTTGCAGGTCATAAGTTTTTGGGATCCAGTCCTTGTTTTTGAAGTATAAAAGAACTATGTAGTTATAAAGGATTCATGATACTGGACAATAAATTCACACTTTATTTCAGTTTTTTTTCTGTAACTCAGTTTAGGTTTAGACAAATCACTGACCAATTCTACTTGTTTGGTATCTTTGTTTGACAACTTACAGTTTAAGCCGCCAGTTCCTGGTGTCCAAACAATTGGGATGATAGGTTCTCTCAGTGGTGCTCCGCGGATGAAAGCAAGTGGGATTCAGCATCAACAAAGACTTGGCCAACCGATTGATAAATCCCTGCCTCAGTCGGCCACCAATCAAACTTCAAACGCACAAGTAACTTGGCAAAATTTTCATCCATATTTTCCTGTGCATGATTTTCTTATTTTTCTTTTCAAACTTCCGATCAGTTTGACTTTCCGATAAAGGTACGGCACGATCAGCAAATGCATGTCTTGAACTTTTGTTTCCCCTTCCTGTCTATTTTGGTTTTTTCTCTTTCTTGATCATGATGCTAAAAAAATTGCTTTCCTTTAGATATGAGTGTTGAACTTGGTTTATGCACTGGAGTTCTTTATGTTCAAAATTGGTGCCTTCTGACAGTGAATGCATTTCTGTCTTGCAAGGAAGAAGAAGAGCACAAAAAGGCTAATTGGAAAAGGAAAATTTCTTTCTATCAAAAGCAGAAAACTGTCATATAGGGAGAACCTTCTCCTTTTCACCACTACCATGGTGTAAAAGTATCATACTACCTAACACAAAAAAAAAGCATATTCACTAAAATTCTATTTAATAATATTTAAGAAGAATTAACTAATATAATAATGGTAATTAGTAAAGGATAAGTCAAGGCCGCATTAATTGCTCTCCACCTCAAAAGAACTCGTCTCGAGTTCAAAAACTTGTGTTTGGCCACCATCAAGAGGCTGAGTTCGGGTAGCAGTTGAATAACATAGGCATTATCATTTATTATGGCAGAGATAGGGAAAGGTCCAAATTTCTTTGGTTTCAATTTAGAATAAGTGTCGACTGGAAAATGCTCTTTGCGTGGATGAACAATAACCAAGTCTTCGATATTAAATTGTTTGTGCCTGTGGTGTTTATCAACTTGTAGTTTGAACTTTGATGCACTAACAATAAGCTTCTAGATGATGTCTTGAAGCTTGACAATGAAGTCAATTTGCTAATTAACTAGCAGTGTTACTGTTCGGTTTTGGTAACAACCAAATCAACAAATGGTCGGTAGCCTTAGTATAAACAATGTCAAATGGAGCCTGACCCGTGGAACGGTTTGCCATGGATTTATTGGCGAATTCAACTCGTCTTAAGGCTTTATCCCATCTCTTAGGTTGCTCACCCGCTAGGCACCTAATCATATTTGTAAGCGTTCTGTTGGTGACCCCTGTTTGGTCATCGATTTGGGGATGATAAGCTGAACTCAATCTGAGGTTGGTCTGAAATTGCTTCGAAAGTTCTCTCCAAAAATTGCTTACAAATTTGACATCGCGGTCAGAAGCTTCGAGGTATGCCATGCAATCGAACAATGTCTTTGAAAAAGACTCTTGTCACATTAAGTGCATCAAATATTTTCTTGCAAGCAATAAAATGTGACATTTTTGAAAAATGATTCACAACCACCATCACAAAATCCATCCAATGCTTTGTTTTGGACAACCCCAAAATAAAATCTAGACATAAATCTTCTCAAATCGATTTTAGAATTGGTAACGAGCTATATAAGCCAGTGTTTTGTGTGGCTACTTTATAAATTTGGCATTTGTGACAACGTTCCACATATCTCGATACTTCTCATTGAGGTTTAAGCTAGAAGAAGCTAGCTTGCTATGTTGGCAAGATTTTATCTCTTCCAATATGAGCTTCTGTTAGGTTTTTGAATTAGCCTCATTCTCTATGAGGTATTTGGTATACATAGCCAAGTTTCTTTAAATAAATACCCTTTTTGGAGAGAATGATCAGTAATTTGACGACCTACTTAGCATTTATTTCATGTTTCAACAAAATCAGAATTGTCGACATATAAGCCTTTGATAGATTCCATACCAAGGATAGTGGTTTGCAGGGACACTAGGAGGCTGGCCCGCCTGCTCAAAGTATCAACAACTGTTAGTCACTCCAGATTTATGAGCTAGAACAAAACTAAACTATTGTAAAAAGACGATTCATTGCACGTGCATTCGATTCAATGTTTTTTGAGTTTGCAGAAATCGTGGAGATCGATCATCCCAGAACAAAATGAATTCCTGGTGAAGAAGGTAGTGCTTCCAATGTTTAATACCCTTGTGACAACATATAATTCTTGTTCATATGTGGATCATCTTTGACAAGACGAACTCAGCTTCTTACTGAAGAATCCGACAGACTTTCCTTCCTAAGACAATACTGCATCAATCCCAATAGCGGAGGCATCAACATCAACCTCGAATGGTTTGTGAAAGTCAGAAATGCTTAATACAATGTATGAACACAATTTGTCTTTGATGGTTTCAAAACTTCTTTGTTGCACAGGTCCCCAAGCAAAAGTTTTTTGTTTAAGTGCATCTGTGATTGATCCCATAATTGTGCTAAACCCTCTTATGAGTCATTGATAGTAGTTGGCAAGATCATGAAAACTTTAAATCTCTGAAATTATAGATGGGGGTGGCTGTGACTTGATGGCTTCTACCTTTCTTGGGTCAGTATGGACTCCTAATTTATCAATGATGAACCCTAGAAAATGTACGCTTGAACTGGCAAATTCACATTTGGACTTGTTAAGATATTTCTCTTCATGCAGAACTGATAGTATAGCAGTCAGTGCTTGAGGTGATTTGACAATGAAGAGCTGTAAACTAATATATCATCAAAATAAATGACACAAAATTGATCAAGGAGGGGTTTTAAGACTTCACTGATGAGTCACATAAACGTGCTTGGCGTGTTACATAACCCGGACGACATCACACGCCATTCATATATGGCTTCTTTAGTTTGAAGGTTGTTTTCATTCATCATCCACACGGATACGGATTTAATGGTACCCACTTCTTAAGTCCAACTTGGAGAAAATGGATGCACTAGCAAGTTGGTATAGAAGATTCTTAAATCTTGGCATAGGTAAATGATACTTTATAGTGATTTTGTTCATAGCTTGACTATCTACACACGTTCTCCAACTTCCATCATTTTTAGGGACAAGTAAGGCTGGTACTGTGCACGGGCTGTGGCTCCAGCGAATGTACTCCTTGCTTAAGAGTTCCTCTATGATTACTTTCAGCCGAATTTATTCTTTTGGACTCATTCGGTAGTATGGAAGGTTGGGTAAGGCTACTGCTGGAATCAGATCAATTTGATGTTGAATTGATCAGATGGGAGGAAGTTGTTTTGGCAATTCAACAAGCATAACATTTGCAAACTGCTGATTTCTGCACTTTGGTAGATTAAGCTCATCATTTCCTGTTGTTTATGCTACATAATCTGTCACTGTCACTCCTAGTAACAGCGAGTGATGTTTGCATTTTGTAATTAACCCTGAACCATAAATGAAAGTGAAAGCTGATCTCTCCAATTAAGGTTTCCCTCTGTGCTTAGATGCAGTAGGGCTGTTTGACAGCAACCATTTTTTTTTACCTTGCCAGTCAGACACGTATGCATTGCTCCATCCATCATACCAAGCTTTGGTGTAATACTGCCAAGGCCTACCTAATATGATATGACATACATCCATGTCTATGACATTGCATACAATTTCACATTTATATTGCCTTCCTACGGAGAATGAAACATGGCATGAATCAGTCAATGCACTTCCCCACCTTTCTTTACCCAACCTATTTTATATGAATTTAGGTGTTTGGTTGTTTTTAATTGTAAGGCTTTAACCATCTTTTTTGACATTATATTCTCCGTACACCCACTATTGATAAGTATATCACAAACTTTTCCCATCACAGAGCATTTAGTGCAGAAAATTCGGTGCCGTTGATATTTGTTCATTTATTTAGGAGCCACCAAAATCTTTTTTAAGATACAAGATATGAATTTATTGTCACTTTCTGCAAGATCTTCACAATCATTAATCGACGGTATTGTATGAGTGCTATCATCCAACTCTTGTTTTCCTTCCATCAATTGTGCTTGGCGGCGGTTAGGGCAGTCATCAGAATGATGCCCTGACTGAAAACAATGGAAGCATTTGCATGGCTCTGGCTTGTTGTTTGGCTTGGTTAGTCCTTTTTCTTTTGTGACTGATTGATTTGGAGACTGTTGGACTTAAAAGGAGCTAGTTTTGGCACTGAAATTTGGTCTTTTTTGCTGATCAATGGGTTGATCCCCACTTGGTCGCTTGTTAAATTTTGACGCTCGAAAGAGTTGCAATTCCGCTTTGCAAGCAAAGTTGACATCCTGGGATAGTGACCAAATGACGCACAACTCTAATTTTTTTTAATAGGTCATTCGAGACCGCCAATGTATCTCGCCGCTAACTAATGATCTGTTTCATTCAGATAGTTACGGGCACTGAACTGATAAAACTTCTCAATGTATTCACCAACTTTGCAATTTTTTTTAGTACACTTTTCATATTGTAAATATAACATTTGTTCGTAATCGGATGATAGAAAATGACTTCTCATCAGTTGCGGCATCCTCATCTAGCTTCGTATATAACTTTGACTTTCTTTCCTGTGGGATAAATGGGGGTGTTTGGTACAGTATTTTTAGTAGGATTTAAGTTAGATTTAATTTAAATCCAGTCAAACACCATAAATAAGTTAGATAAATCCGCTCTCAAGTTGAATTCAATTTTTGCTTATTTCATTTATTAAATCCAGATTTACTAGTTCAACTTATTAGTTGGATTTAACGGATCTAGTGCTGGAAAAAAAATATTTTAAGATTTATGCCAAATACCTCAAATGAATTTAACTGGATTTAATCTTAATTGAACCAAACATTATTTTAGATTTAATGATATTTGGATTTAATAAATCTAAAAAATTTAGATTTTCTAAATCCTATTTAACTTAAATCATCCTTACAGCCAAGCACCCCCTTAAGTTAGTTGAACCCACCAAGTGTCAACCCCCTATCCCCCTTAAGTTTGCATGCAACATATTTAACTTTTTTATCCAATGAAATACCCTAAAAAATATTTCAAGATTTATGCCAAACACCTCAAATAGATTTAATTGGATTTAACATTAATTGAACAAAACACTATTTCGGATTTAATGATATTTAGATTTAATTAATCCGGATTTACCGGATTTAATAAATCTAATTTAACTTAAATCTTCCTTGCAACCAAATAGTCCCCTAAGTTAGTTGAACCCATCAAG